TAGCTCCGTGAATGGCTCTTCCTCTGGCTCTAGCTGTGAAACTCCGTCACTTTCCACTCACCTTACCTCCTCTATGCCCCCTTTTCCATGCTCCGCCATTGCCGGGTCTTCCACCTGAAACTCCTGCCTTCTCGCTGCCGCTGCTTTGTCGCTCTAGTCCGGGCCTCCGTCCCTCAGTCCTTCCTCTGTCAAGTCACTATCCGTCGCCTCCAGGTTAAGCTTTATGCAGCAAGAGCTCGGGTAAGGCCCCCCTCCATACAAAAGCTTCCCTCGAAGTTGGAACCGCTTTGCCTGACGTGTGTATAGTATATACAACCACCCTCGGGGGCGCAGGACACGTCTTCCGGCTGCTTGACCCGCCCGCGCCCCGCCCACGCCCCGCCCCCACGCCCGCACCCGGGCCCCGCCTCCGCCAGCCAGCCAGGCTCCTCCCCGCCCAGCCCTTCGCACCTCCTGCTTCTGACTTTGGAGTGTTCCTGCTTTGCTTTTTCCCCTTAATTTTCCCCTGGGTACACTTGACCTTTAGACCCACTACTTCTGAAACACCTTCTCTACTCTCGTATTCTCATCCAAAAGTAGTATTTTCTTCCTCTCAAAGTACCTTACTCATGGCGTTTTACCGCTTTCTGCCTGGTATCATAGTTACTTGTGTACCTGTCTCATTTCCCGCACTAGACGGTCAGCTTGTTAAGGGCAAGAATTATGTCTTGTTCATCTGTATATGCCTCATGGTGCGCACACAGTGCCTCGTACTTAGCAGGCGCTAAATAAACATTTATCAAAGCAAAGCAATGGTGGTTTTTGTTTTTAATATTTAAGTGCTGATAAAATTACTGTCCTGAGTGCCCCATGAAAATGTTCCTTTTGTTAATGTGTAAGGGGACAGTTGGTGAGGAAACCTGCTGCCCCCTTTTCTTGCAGTGAGTCATCGTGGATGGTCACACTGTGTCATCCCAAGTCCTGGCAAGTCAGGCTGAGTTGGGTCTCTCTGGATGAGTTAACCAGAAGCATTTCTCTCTTTTTCTTTTTTATGACAGAGAGAGCACAAGAGAGCGCAAGCAGGGGGAGCAGCAGGGAGAGGGAGAAGCAGGCTCCCCATTGAGCAGGGAGCCCGATTTGGGGCTCAATAACAGGACCCTGAGATCATGACCTGAGCCGAAGGCAGAAGCCTAACCTACTGAGCCACCCAGGGGCCCCTCCAGAAGCATTTCTTGAATAGGGGAGTATATATCAGGGTGTATTGAATGGTAGGGACAAGGAAATCCTGATTCAGCTGGGTTTTAAGGAAAACTTGGCTCATACAAGAAGGGCTGAGGTGGGCTGGCTCCAGCTCACTTGCCTGTGAGGCCAGCGCACCATGACAGCCACACATACTCAGGGACCGTGACACCCACCCGAAGGAGAGGGCATCCCCTTTTGTGCATCTCATGACTTCGTTAGACTGAAAACCCTCCCCAGAAGCCTCTCAGCAGCCACCTCCTTGTGTCTCACTGGCTACGAGCCTCTCATCTGACTCGTGAAACCAGCTGTGACGAGGGACTGTGGACTGATGAGCCCACAGCATGGCTACATGGACGACCTCCTTTGGCAGGGGACGAGTGTGCCTGAGTGAGTGGCACAGTCAGGAGAGTGTCTTACAGGGAAGTCGGGGTCGAGTTTTGTTTTGTTTTTTTTTTTTAAAGATTTTATTTATTTGACAGAGACAGAGATAGCGAGAGCAGGAACACAAGCAGGGGGAGTGGGAGAGGGAGAAGCAGGCTTCCTGTGGAGCAGGAAGCCCGATGTGGGACTCGATCCCAGGACCCTGGGACCACGACCTGAGCCCAAGGCAGATGCTACGCTTAACGACTGAGCCACCCAGGCGCCCCTGGGTCGAGTTCTTAAAGTAATAAAGTAATAAAGCCCAAAATACTGTTCTAGAGTAGGGATGTAGTACTTGGATGTTGTTTATTCATTTTTTTGTACTTCCATTTATTTATATATTTATATTTATAATTAAGTGAATAAATTGTTGCTCTTATACTTTTTGTCTTTTCACTCTGGCCAATAAAGGGCATCTTTTATAAATGTGCAATAATCCAGGATGTATTAAAGGGGTGTCAGCTTAAATGAAATTCCAACATAATAGTTTCTATTTTTCCTTTAATGTAACTGTTTTGCAAATAAATGGGGGAGACAAATGGACTTTTGAGAAAGCTTCTCAACATATCAAACTGCTTTTCAGGAAGAGATCTCTAGCAACTAAAAAATTAAGGGTAGGTTTTTAAAAACACTAAGCAAGACACGGTAGGATCCATGACCCTATTAACAATGCAGCTTCTGGCATAATTTCAGCTTTTGAGATTTTTAACACTCCTTTTGTTGGAGCTTTGAAATGAGGTGGGAAAACACACTGTTAGTGTTTGTCTTTAGTTGCATATCTGTGTAATCTGTTTTCACCAGAGTGTAGCGTAGCCAACATTTTTCTCTTGGTAATCAGTATTTGTTGGGCATTAGTTTTGAAAACATGGTGTTTTTTGTTTTTTTTAGGCTACATGCATTTCCAATTCAAAGTTGATAGAAATGCTAGATGTTTGCCTTATGTCGTAAAGTGCCTCAGACCTCATAAACCCTTTATCTAATTTTGTATGTCAGAACACTGCCATTGACAAAAGATGCCATTATCTTGCTGGCTTTCCTCTCCAGAATTCCATCCAAAGTGCTAGCTGCGCGGACAGCTAGCTGGCCTTGCTCCCTGCAGGGGGGAGCGCATGGCTTCCCACAGTGTCCCATTACCATTTCGGGTTCTGGTGGAATTCTGTCTGGACTACTAGAGCTGGACAGAAAATCAGGTCTTTGGTTTTCCCACCTTTTATGGCTGTTTGTTCTTGTCCTTGATTGCTTGTAGTCATGCACTTTTATTTCGACACAGGATAGTTTTCCTGGTGATATTAAACTCCAAGTGTCATTTAGCTTGTAGACCTGTACCTCCATGTAGCCAAATCCTGCCTGTGACACAGTTCTGCCCAGGAGTCAGTTTAATCCCAGGTGATGCCTGACAGGTGTCAAAGAGAAACAAAGCCATTTTAATGAAGGGGTGAGGGCAGACTTGACTGCACTGGGGGTCAATGACTGAGCCCAGTTCCCTGGAAAAAAAGGCTGGAGACTGTTTAAAGGCTGGGGTGCTAAGGGAAAGGCAGCGAGGGGTGTGATGGGGTTGGTCTATGTGACAAGGCCATCTGGATTTGAGAGTTGGAGCTTCTCCCCCTATCTTTATGATGGGAGGTGGTGGGGCATGTTGGAGCGAGGTGCCCACCTGAACTAGGCCTTTCTCCTCCTGGATATTTATGTTTTGGAGACATCTTGGATCCTTATGGAGATGGTTTCCAGTGGTAGTTTCACATCTCAAAGGGCAGCAGAAGGATTTATAATTGCCAGCTTTCTAAAAATAACTCTAGGAGGGGGTTAAGGGACCTATCTGCTCATCACCATGTTTTGGCCGAATCAAATACATTCTGCGAGTGTGCAGCTTTCTCAGGTGGGCATTTTAAGGGGGTCTAGGGTCATCCTGGGTACGCGGCCTCACGCTGCTAGAAGCTGTGCTGGAGTTTGGTCATGTCTCAGTGCAAGAGGTGTGGATGGGTCCTCACGAGCCAGAGGTCAGCAGTCCTGCCCCGCCCTGCCTTGTCTGCAAACTTCGTCAGAGTTCCCATTTTATTCTATGGCATTTCCCCTGCAATTCTTCACACAGGAGTGGCACCACTAAATTAAAAAAAAAAAAAAAAAAAGTGGTTCTTTTTTATCTGGTGCCTACACATTTGGATATCAGAAAGTCTTGTTTTGATGTATGTTGCCCCCAAATACTAATCTGAGGAAGGTATAAAACCAAAAGGTAAGAGAGTGTTTAATTTGAAAGCTGTTAGGGGCCGACACATTCCTCAATCAAAACAACAGGATGGTTTATATATTTGTAATCAACTCATATTAAATTGATAAACACTTTAAAACGAGGTAGGTGGAATATTTTCTGAGATCAGATGTCTACTACTTAAACCACTTTATTGATTTTAATACAGTTGACCCTTGAACAACACAGGTTTGAAAATGGGTCCATTTATACACAGATTTTTTACAGTACGGTACTATAAATGTATTTTTATGATTTTCCTAACATTTTTTCTCTAGCTTACTTTAAGAATATAGTATATAAATCATATAACATACAAAATGCGTGTTAATCAACATTTTGTGTCTCACTGTAAGGTGAGTAACCCCAGGTCAGTAAGGTTTCCAGTCAACAGTAGGCTATTAGTTAAGTTTTTGGGGAATCAAGTTATAGGTGGATTTTCGACGGTACAGTGGGTGGGTGGGGGGTGTGCTGTCGCCCCCAGATGCCCCCCCCGTTGTTCAAGGGTCAACTGTAGATCTAAAACTTTTAATGCAAGTAACTAACTTCTTAGCCCTCTCATTCTTAAGTAGCCCCTAGAAACAAATATTTGTTAGATGTTTACCTGATATATTTCAGGGCAGGCAAAGAAGAAAATAAACCTGCAAGCTAACACTGGCCCAGCGGGACACACGAGGTGCCTTTCCACAGATGTCACGTGAGGGAAACCTTAGTCTTCACAGCCTGTGAGGGAAGTCCCATCATCTCTGTGTCTCAAGGCTGAGCCTGAGGCACAGGGGAGTTAACCTGTCTCAGTACAGGGTAGTAAGAGGCCGGGCAGAGCCAGGGCTGGGAGCCAGGCCACAGGGCACCCGGGCTTGGCGGGAGGGAGGAGGCGCCTTCCCTGGGCTGCTGCACAGACCCCCACCCACAGCTCCCTCAATGGAAGCTCACTCAAGTTCATTCTGGTGTAAAGGTTTTTGGTATTAAAACTTCCTGAATGAAAAGGTCTGAAAGTATGTTGATATGTAATACCTACCAACGCCTAACTATGAATAAGACCTTGAGATCATGAATAATATTCATTTAAGTAAAGCACACTCTTGTTCAGAAACTCACCAAGAATTGAAATACATTTTTAAAAGCCCCAAACTTAGGATGATTTTTATTTACAAAACAGGTTCTTTTGTTTTACAAAAATTACAAAAAATGACTCTGAAAAATAGAAATAGCGTCTCAGACTCTTGGGAACTACTTTTAAGCAACCAAGGAGTTGGAACTCAGAAGGTTTTCTTCTTTCTAAGAGTTGTAACGGCAACATTTATGAATGCTTTATGTCTTCACAAAAAATCCCACGGCTCGGAGCTGCCTTTCCTCTGGTGGAAAGGGCTCCGGTCAGGCCAGAGTCTGAAGGAGCAAGATCTTCTCGTTGATGCAGAACCTGTGCAGCACAACCATCAAGTTCTCGCCACAGCGGGACACCTGGCGCTCCATGGCCAGGCGGAAGTCCTCCTTCACGCCCTTGGTGATGCCCCGAGTGACCGTGTGGTGCCTGAGGGCAGCGACAGGGAAACAGATGGACACCATAGTTAGCGCCGGCATCACTGGTCAGTGTTTCTGGGGCAGGAGTAAAACCTGACTGAAATCTAAGTTTAAGTAAAAAAAATTCAAAAAGGAAGAAAAGCCCTACCCAAACAATCCCCCTACCCATTCCTTCTCAGAAAGACATAAAACTAGAGACATGTTTCCCACTCAGTAAAAGGCTATTTTAAACATCTAAACGTCTGGTAAAATTGCTTCTGGACTCTTGCAGCTCTGACACTATGCATCCCTCTGCTGACCTGTGCACGGTTCTGTCACTTTGGGTCAACTGGGCCCAGTCCACACGGCCCCACAGTTCATGTGTGGACAAGGCAGCCGAGTGCAGAGGCAGCAGCAGGGAGGAGGGAAGCCAGAACGAGCCAGTCACCACACTGAGCTGGGGCCTGGGGCTCTGTGATGGGGCTCTGTGATGAGGCTCAGAAAGGCCTGGGGCTTGTGCTCGGCCACTGGGGTTCCAAGTGCGCTGCTCTCCGGTGATGCCAGAACAGGACAGCTCTGCTAAATGCTGAGCCCATCCAGACTCACGTCTGTCTGAGAAGCAGCAGGAGGAGTTGGAGGTCCCAAGACAAGAGTCTGGCAGGGGTGGGGAGAGAGAAGCTGACTCACTGAAGAACAGCCAGTGCCCTGCAAAAGCCTACTGGGGACCAGATGTGGTCCACGTGCTCAGGAGACATGCACGTCTGTGGAAGGGTCAGTGGAACATGGGAAAAGTTCTAGCTACACCCGAAAGCTGTGCTGTGGAGAAGGAGTTCACAAAGGAAATCCCAGAAAACTTAAGACGTCAAAATGAAGAAAGGAAAAGAAAAATCTAGCAAAACTCAACGGGTTGTTAAAGTAAAGGAGTTTCAACTACTGGGTCAGTAGTTTAGTAGATTAGACCAATAGAAGTCACCTCCATTCCCCACCTCGACTGCCTAACTTCCCTCAGACACAGTAGCAGGGATTTAAAATTAGATTCTTATGTATTGGCCAAAACAAAACTGTCGAAACCACTCTAAAATGTTCGTTGTTTTTTTTTTTTAACTTGTGTATTGTCATATAAAACAGTACAGCAGAAGTCAAAAAGTTGCAATGCAACAGAAGAAAAAACAAAACTCGGCTCTGTCAGACTAGTAAAGATACTACACGACAGTCTACAATGCCCGCGGGCATTCGGAAGAACTACGCAAACGGCAGCAGTGCCAGGGAGAAAACACAGTTCTTTGTGGACATTTCTAGTGAAGTCGGCTGGTTAACTCAGTAATAAGGACATGGTGTCAGTGAGGCTGAGCCCATGAGGCCCACTGGGAATAGGCGTAGACCCACTGAAGCCGTCCCGAGATCCTGTTCTTCTGGGTCCCAGACTGCAACCCCTGATGCGAGCCAACCCTTGAGCAAATGAGAATTACTGGTATTTGCAGACAACTAGCTAAAGGGCTTTGAAAGCTCAAAGCAAACTTTTCCCTTCGTGCTAGTAAAAATATAAAATGTCGTGTCCTGCTGATCATGGTTCAACGGTATTGTTTCTACAGATAAAGCAGTACAATTCCATTATATTTCTGTCAGTCTCTATCCCTCTGGTGAGTTTGGATGAAGAACATTAGTTAGCTTTTGTGGTTAAGGACAGGAGAAATCAGCTAATAAATGCAGCATACCAAGTATTTTCAGTTTAGAAAGGGAAGGTCTGAAAAATCAGTAAATGCTGTACTAAGGCCCGGTTAGACCAGAACATCGACACTGCTCACTAATACGACAATCCACGAACAAAAATTTACTTAAAATGAGCTCCAGCATCCTTAAATATTTATGACTGAATGCCTTATGTTTTATCAAAAGAGAATCACAGTCTAGAGCCTAACCTAATGTGTGCTTAATCTAACACAGTTTTATATAACTTTTTTTTTCCAGATCCATAATGATTTTTAAATTGAACACAAAAACACTGGCAACTTATGGAAAAAAAATAAGAAATGTTACAATATTACAACCAGATGGTTTGCCAAGGAATGCGGAACAAATTAAAAAAATAAATAAAGCATGAAAAAGAGCACTGAGGAACAGAGAGCTGGAAACCATGGGCAGTACGACATGTTGACAAAACGGCACACTATGAGCAGGTGTTTTTCCACGTGGTACCTGTCAGCAGTCTGTATGCTGGGCTGAAGCACAGGTAAGAATTCCTGCTGCAGTAACCCCATGGGAGGGCTAGAAGGCCTTTAAAAAACAGCAAACAGCAGCATTCAAACACCCACACCGACTCACCCTGCACTGCAAAAACAACACGCCAGAGAAAATGCACGAGACTGGAACAGACTATGCAGAAACCCTTGAACCTCCACGGGCCCCCGGCCTCAGCGGTGTCTTTCGGGAGGACGGGAGAAGCTAGCAGTCCGCTCCCTGCACCTGCTGTGGGGGCACGTCCGGAGCATCTCGTTTCTGGGCCCCGAGCTCAGGCCACTCGAGATTTGGTGTAAAAGCAACCACCAAGGAAGAGGACGACGAGACGCAACTGAACGGCAGTGCGGAGAGGGGGTCACGCTTGAGAAGACACATTTTTGAATCCAGCCTCCTTCACTCTCCATTCTGCTCATGCCCCCGCCAATCCCAGAGATAAACTCGGGGGCTTTTGATAACCATCTTTGCCAGGATTGAAGCCCCGAACTGAAGAGGCCCTTCCGGGACGACTAGAGGGGCTGGCAATGTTTTTGATCAAGAAAGGTTGAGCTTGAATTTCAAAAAGTATTGAGAAAAGGAACAGATGTGGGGCGGGGGGAGGGAAGAAGTCTGGGACCCATGGCTTTACAGAATTCGAAACAAAGATTTAGTGCACAGGACACGGTTTTTCCATTTTCACCCAGTCTAATGCAACTATGGTACTGCAAGTATCGGCAAAGAAATAGTTCTCTATTTAAAAATGCGTAAGGACAAAGCATCTTTGTTCTGTTGGTCAGGCCCCAGGTGCCCTCAGGTTGGGACCCGCTAGCATCCGAGCAGACCAGGACGGACTCACAACCTTATCCAAGGGGAGGGCATGTGCACTGCTCACGACACCTCTGCCACTTGGCTGGAGGTGTCGCCCAAAAGGTCTGTGACAGTGTCAGAGAATTTGTTTGGAACCCAAAGGTAAAAGGAATATAGATAGTTTTACTCAAGATTCTAGTCCTACCCCCTTGGTAACAGCTCTCTGGCTCTATGCAGCTTGCTTCTCCCGCTGGTTAGGCATAAGTAATCTGAAATGCAGGCTTCAAATGAACTTTGAGACTTGCACAGTGAAAACTGGGCAAATTTCTAGAAGGTCAGCTCCCTAAGTAACAATCCCTATTCTTGCTTCCGAACAGATAGAACAGCAGGTTTCCTAAGAGGCTTAATGGTCTTCTACAGGGTGTTAGAAGACATTAAAGTTTATACTGACCAAGGTGGGAGAGCCGGGAATTCTCTCCAAAGCCTAGAAATGCATGCTGTGCATCCCTGCCTTGCCCTAAACAACTCTTTACAGTGATATTATCTGGGTGTCCAAGACAGCCTGCTTTCATTCCTTGTCCTCGGGGTTGTCTGCATGAAACCATGTCACTGTTCGGCTCGATACAAACTGGCTACAGAAGAAAGGTTCGGTATAATGAAGTTCGAGATCCAACTGTTGATTTTCTAACAGTCCATTCACTCATATTTCCACAGTTAAGCACTATCTGAAGTGAGATATCATCTATAAGCTTAACCTTAAGCAAATGTAGCTGATGCCTATATTATGATAATTTGTACAGTAAGCGTTAATGTGAATTAACTAAAAAGCTATTAATATTAGGTATGTTTTATATATCCAGCCTCAAAACCTGGAAATCTTTTATTTTTAAACCCACAAAAGGGGTTACCTAAGTTCCCATATCAACAAGTCATCTTTGTTCTTGACCACTGTTAAGAATATTTTTACCACGCATTGTCTGCCCCCTAGTTTTTATTTGCAGCCTTAGGGAAGGGGATGGAGATGGGAAGATGAGCGTGTCCAGCCCATCTTGCCTAGGCCACCTAACGCACAAAGGGCTCGTGTTTTCAAAAAAGAGCACTTGTTCTTGTAATTTAGACGTTTAGAATATCTATTAATACTATTTACAGACGAAGGACAAAAACCTCACTTAATCTTCCCATTCTTTAGAATGGATTCCATAAGACCCTCTTCTCAATAGGAGTAAAGTAATGTTTGTGATTATACATATCCACAATGCACATCTCAAGCTTCCCTCTCAACATTTCTAAGGCTCTACAAAGACAGAAGGAGGTGTGGATTTTCGCTCTCAACAACTGAAAACTCATTCATTTCGCAATTGAGAGAAAAAGGACAAGGTTTTCAGCCTTAGCACCGCTCCCTTCTCACTCGGGGCTCCGTCTCTTGCAGTGACTCTAACACTGACTCACGGCCATGCTGAATCTGCAGGACGCGAAGGACGGAGTATGAAAATAAAGCTACACGTGGCATTAACAGCACAGAGGAGCTATTATCCAAACTACAATGAGTACTGAAGGATAGAAGCAAGATTTATGAGCTATTTAAAAATCATAAATGGTCACTAACTTCATCTAGGTGTGAGAGGGCACTGCCCGAGAGCAGGCACCCCACCACTATTTCTTGGGGCAGGGGTGTTTTTCTTAAGAGGCACTAGACCCAGCTAGTTTCCCTTGCATTGTGCAAGCAATGATTGCTTGGGACGGCCTCAAATAAATACTGAAATCCAAGTACAGTTTATAAATAAAGTGTGTAGCTTTTCCTAATCCATTACAACTTTAATTAAGCATAGCTCTTTCCTAATTAAAAACATTTATGTCTCACCAAAAGTTTATAGGATTCGCCTGTAAATTTTGGAAAGGAAAAGATATCATGAATGAGACTTCCGTTTAGTGAAAAGCCTCCAAAAGTGACAGAAATATCCCAATTTAAACAATGCTTTATCAGAAATGTAGTTAAGGAAACACCAAATTTCAAAAGGTACCCAGAATCAAATCTACTCTCCAAAACAGAGACCAGGTTTGGATTCCTTTCTGTGAAACTTCTCAAAACTACAGAAACTTACAAATATTTCCTACAAGCACATGAAAGGTGAGCACTTAGCATGGGAGAGCAAGACAGCATACTTACTTGATCAGCATTCCTTGATTGGGCAGTAATTCCAGATGAATTTTCCCACCTTCCTGAGTTCTTAAGTAGGCAAATTCCTCCAGCATATCGATATCTGCAGGCCAGATTCAGGTTAACCACGTGCAGAAACAAGGTGCCCTGCTCTCTTGGAGGAGGACTGGGCTGGCAGTGACCGAGTGACTTGCCCAAGGCCACCCCGCTAACCAGAGTCAGTACTGGAACCCAGGCCAGTCTGATTCCCAAACTGACGATTCTTGTACCAACCAGACCACCTCGTAAAGATAAATGTTTCTCCTACAGATGCTAATTAAACAGATTCTATACGATCGTAACAGCAAAATCTTTTGTTTTCCTAATAAGAAATGAAAGAGGCAGTGGGGGTGCTAGATCCCTGGAAACGGTGCTTGGACAAGGACAGCACGTCCCTCACAACTCGAAGGTGGTCTTTCCCTAACCGTATGAAACACGACACTCCCTACGGCCGAAAGCAGCTGCTGGGGTGGGCCACACAGGTGGTGGGTTCCCAGTGGCAGTTGTAACGGCTGTGACACGGTGTTCTAACGGCTGACCCCGGGGGACAGCCAGTGCCCCCAGGAGAGGCCCCACGAGGCCCTGTGCTGACAGATGAAGGCCCATGAACTATTCTATTCTCTGGCCTCACCAGCCGCTCTGGGCCTCTCAGGAACCTGAAGGCTATTAATGTAGGCATCTCGGGTACCTGCCTAGAAGTCACTGGAGGTGGAAAGTGGAGTTGAGCTGACTGGTATTCCTGATTCCGTGCATCACCTCTGTGAAGCCTTTTAGGACTCTCATTGAGACCAACTGCCACAGGCCCATTTTTAGTCATTCTTCCTCTCTTCCCCCAAAATAGTGAAAACCAGTATTTCTACCTGGAATGATTCATTCACTCTTGTACCATGCATTTATTCTAAAAAAAAAAAAAAAAAAAAAAAAAAAGTCAGAATTTCTTATGCTCACACAGGAAAAAGGATACTTGTAACATAGTTGAAAAAATTCTCGTATTGGAAATTTCCTTGTTGGCAAATCTTACTGACAGCTTTCAAGAAAAGATTCTCTCCCCGTGGCCACTCTTGCTGAAGCAAGACAATCACGTGGCCCAGCGCCATGTCGTCCCTGCTGTCCGCGAACGCTCGGAGCTGCAAGACAAGGATTTGTGCAGACTCGGAAGGAAAAGGAAATCATGGGGTGGTCTTAAATATACCAAATAGCACTTCCTGAAAAAATGCCGCTATATGAAAATGTGTGATCTAGGGAACAAAGCAGAACACACACCTGCCACGCAAACAACACAACTGCCTTCTGAGGGGGTGGGTCCCAACCACAGAAGCCTGGCTTCCCTCTGTGCTGGGAACAAGGTCACTGAGCATCCTGACGGGAGCGGGACACGCCTGGCAGGCCTGAAGCTCGACTTTGGGAAAAGGGCAAGAGAAGCTGCGTGGTTCTGTAGGGCAGAGAGAAGTTGGGGATTTCTTTGAAGGGGGCAGTTGCGGGTAGAGGGTGGGTCAGAAGGCGGGTAGGAAAGAAGGGCTGGAGGAGAACGTGGACTGGGGAGCAGAAAGGCAGCGAGCAACAAGGAAGGAAGTGGCAGTGTGAAACGCAGAACTGGCCCAAGGACTAAATGAGCAGCTAGGCCCCAAATCACACTTTTAAATTGTTTGTGTTGCCCCAAGGGATTCTGGCAATGAGTGAAGTCTGGGAATTACAGCCCTAAAACAGAGACCCAGTACTGCTGTTCTCTTGCTCACAAACCTTGGTGAAATGCACACTAAGGCTCTGCTCCACCTGCAGCCAAGGGCCTGGCGTTCTTCCAACAGCCTGTAAACCTTCCCAGCTCTGCTGGTCTTCATCCTAAAGCCTGAAATGCTTTCACCCCCGCCTCCCCCCCTCCCCATCTTTAGGATAACAAACTTGCCATCCCTCTATGAACACAAGGGCATTTGTAATCTCTTCTTCTAGCTAATATATTCTGACATACGTTAATTCATAAAATATTTACTGACCATCTCTATGGGCAGGTTATTTGGATAACTGTCCCATGCTTATTTGTAAACTGCTCGAGGATGGGGATCATTTCCTACTCATTTGTGCCTAGTGCAGTCCATAGTTGGTATTTGTTCATCGCTAGCCCATGTGCTCTCCCCACGACACCAAGTCACTCCAGATCATCAGAACAGTGTTCCAAATTAAACTGTGTTCATGCTAATCGGCTCTCAGCTTACCTTAAAGCAAGCCAGCATTAGATGCAGGCAGAACGGCATGATAGCCTTGCTGGTACAAGGCAGCAACTTCAGATCTGAACCTGTGGGCAAAAGTCCACAATATGTCTGTTATGAGCAAAGAAAACAGCTTTGAAAAGCACATAGTTAAGATGCTTTCCAGAAAAAAAAGATAAGCAACAGTCACATGATTTCAAATATAGTTAAACCACGAGTATATTTAGTGATGGTGAAATTGGTTTTTGAATGATCTCTGGATTTCATTTATCAATCTTCTTCCCTAACCTTGCTTAAATACTTTTTATTACAAAACATTTCAAATGTAGAGAAACAAACACAGGTGTTTGTAATACTGTGCTCAACACTCAGCTGTATAAAATGTTAAGTTTTTGCTTTAAAGATTTTAATATAAAGTATCACAAATTTAGTTGAAACCTCTTGTGCACCTTGTCAGCTGCCCTCTTCCCTTCTCCCTAAAGTAACTATTATCCTGAAGGTGCTGTTTTTCATTCCTCTGCAACAAAAGAGGAAAGTTTTGCAAGTTTTCAGTCTACTATATAAATGGTGTCATATTGTATGCATCCTTCCACAAACTGTTTTTGATACTAATACCTATAGCTCTAGTTCATTGATTTTCAATGTTTATACGGTATTCTATTTACATATGTCACAATTCATTTATCCATTCTTTTATGGTGGACAGTGAGATTTCCAATTTTTCACTATTACAAACAATGCTAAAATAAACATTCTTATATATATTTTCTTGTGCACTTGTGGGAAAGAAACTTTAGGCAATAGTTTTCAAACCAAGACCTTAATCCTTTCCTTTATGGTGTGTGCTCTTTATATCCTAAATCCTTCTCTACCATGAGGATGAAATTAGCAAGAAATCATGGAGATCCTGTACATACATATTTACATATGTTTATGTATCTAAAACAAAAGGTTCATGAAATACAATTTACCCTTTTTACAGGAGATGAACTCATTTTAGTAATAATATTATATTCTACCTCATTAAAAGAAGAAAATGGTTCAAATTCATTACCCGGGGGGTGAGGACCCACTTTGAAAAGCATTGATCTGAGGGATTTAACTAGAAGAGGTATGTAACTAGGTAATGAGATGTTCGACCTGGAATGGCTAAACTGGTCTCCACAGTGATGGTATGAGTTTATACACCTTCCAGAGGAGACGGGCAATGTGTGTCTTCACAACCAACAGTATTGCCACTCTGCATTCTGACATGTCTGATACGGTAGCTTACTGTTTTAATCCAAATGTCCCATGTTGCTAATAGGTTGAGAATCCTTTCAAATAGTTTCTGGTCAGTTTGGATTTCTGCTTCTGTGAATCTGTTTCTTGGTTCTCTATTCTGTTCCATCGGTCAGTCTCTATGCCAACACTACAGTATCTCTATTACTATAGCTTTAAAGTAAGTCTTGAAGTCAGCTAGGTCCAATCTTAACCCACCTGATCTGCTTCTGTTTCAGAGACACACTTTCTGAAGGGGTCTGGGCTATACTATTTTTTTTTTTTTTTTTAAAAACCTCCCATGTACCTTAAACAGCTTCAATAATGATCAAGACTATCATGCTCTTGTCTTCTAGGAAATTTTAGTGTCCTAATAAATCTACCTACCAGTCACAAAGACCTTTTCTTCTTTTTCTTAAAAATAAAAATAAATGTTTATTTGAAATTATATATTATGCCACATAGTTTACTTTTCTGTTACATTTTATTTTTTATTTAAATTCAATTACTCAACATACAGTACATCATTAGTTTCAGATGTAGTGTTCAATGATTAATCAGGTGCCTATAACAGCCAGTGCTCATCACATCACATGCCCTCCTTCATGCCCATTGCCCTGTTAGTCCATCCCCCCACCCACCTCCACTCCAGCAACTGTTTGTTTCCTATACTTAAGAGTCTCTCATGGTTTTTCTCCCTCTTTGAAGACTTCCCATTCAGTTTTCCCTCCGTCCCCTATGATCCGCTGCACTGTTTCTTATATCCCACCTCTGAGTGAAACCATATGACAATTGCCTCTGACTTCTTTCGCTCAGCATCATACCCTCCAGTTCCATCTACGTCGATGTAAATGGTAAGTATTCATCCTTTCTGATGGCTGAGTAATATTCCATTGTATATATGAACCACATCTTCTTTATCCATTCATTTGTCAATGGACATTTCAGCTCTTTCCATAGTTTGGCTATTATGGACATTGCTGCTATAAACATTGGGGTGCACGTGCCTCTTTGGATCACTACATCTGTATCTCTGGGGTAAATACCTAGTAGTGCAATTGCTGGGTCATAGGGTAGCTCTATTTTTAACTTGTTGAGGAACCTCCATACCGTTTTCTAGAGTGGCTGCACCAGTTTGCATTCCCACCAACAGCGTAAAACAGTTTCCCTTTCTCTGCATCCTCGCCAACATCTGTTGTTTCCTAAGTTGTTAATTTTAGCCATTCTGACTAGTGTGAGGTGGTATCTCATTGTGGTTTTGATTTGTATTTCCCTGATGCTTAGGGATGTGGAGCATATTTTCATGTGTCTGTTGGCCATTTGTATGTCTTCTTTGGAGAAATGTCTGTTCACATCTTCTGCCCATCTATTGACTGGATTGCTTTTTGGGTATTGAATTTGGTAAATTCTTTATAGAGCTTGGATACTAGCCCTTTATGTTATGTCATTTGCATATATCTTCTCCCATTCAGTAGGCTGCCTCTTATTTTGTTGACTGTTTCCTCTGCTGTGCAGAAGCTTTTTATCTTGATGAAGTCCCAATATCTCATTTTTGCTTTTGTTTCCCTTGCCTTTGGAGACGTGTCAAACAAGAAGTTGCTGTGGCTGAGGTTGAAGAGGTTACTGTCTGTGTTCTCCTCAAGGATTTTGACGGATTCCTGTCTCACATTTAGGTCTTTCATCCATTTTGAGTTTATCTTTGTGTGTGGTGTAAGAAAATGGTACAGTTTCATTCTTCTGCATGTTGCTGTCCAGTTTTCCCAACACCATTTGTTGAAGAGACTGTCCTTTTTCCATTGGATATTCTTTCCTGCTTTGTTGAAGATTAGTTGACCAGAGAGTTGAGAGTAACCAGAGAGCTGACCAGAGAGTTCCATTTCTGGGTTCTCTATTCTGTTTCATTCATCTGTGTGTTTTTGTGCTAGTATCATACAGTCTTGATGACAGCTTTGTAATAGAGCCTGAAGCCTGGCATTGTGATGCCACCTTTTGCAACATTCCTCTGGCTATCCCGGGTCTTTTCTGGTTCCATACAAACTTTAGGATTGTTTGTTCCAGCTCTGTGAAAACGTGAATGGTATTTTAACAGGAATTGCACTGAATGTGTACATTGCTCTGGGTAGCATAAACATTTTAACAATATTTACTCTTCCAATCCATGAGAATGGAATGTTTTTCCATTTCTTTGTGTCTTCCTCAATTTCTTTCACAGGTGTTCTGTAGTTTTTAGAGTACAGATCCTTTACTTCTTTGGTTAGGCTTATTCCTAGGTATCTTATGGTTTTTGGTGCAATTGTAAATGGGATTGATTCCTTAAATTCTTTCTTGTCTTGTTGTTGGTGTATAGAAATGCAAATGACTTCTGTGCATTGATTTTATATCCTGCCACGTTGCTGAATTCCTGTATGAGTTCTAGCAATTTTGGGGTGGAGTCTTTTGGGTTTTCTACATGAACTATCATGTCATCTGCAAAAAGAGATAGTTTGACTTCTTTGATAATCTGAATGCCTTTTATTTCTTTTTGTTGTCTGATTGTTGAGGTTAGGACTTCTAGTACTATGTTGAACAACAGTGATGAGAGTGGGCATCCCTGTCGTGTTCCTGACCTTAGGGGAAAAGCTCTCATTTTTTCCCCATTGAGAATGATATTCACTGTGGGCTTTTCGTAAATGGCTTTTGTGATACTGAGGTATGTTCCCTCTATCCCTACACTGTGGAGAGTTTTAATCAAGAAAGGATGCTGTATTTTGTCAAATGCTTTTTCTGCATTGAGAGGATCATATGATTCTTGTCCTTTCTTTTATGAATCTGACGTATCATGTTATTGATTTGCAAATGTTGAACCAGCCTTGCAGCCCAGGAATAAATCCTACTTGGTCGTGGTGAACAATTCTTTTAACGTACTGTTGGATCCTATTGGCTAGGATCTTGGTGAGAATTTTGGCATCCATGTTCTTCAGAGAAATTGGTCTGTAATTCTCCTTTTTGGTGGGGTCTTTGTCTGGTTTTGGGATCAAGGTAATG